TGGGTTTAATAGGGGAAATACATAATAAATTGAATTAAGCTCGCAAAAACAAAATATTGCTAACAATATTCTACAAAACATATTTTGACGGTAGGTAATAAAAAATAGAACACAGTTTAAAGACTATCAAACTGCTTACAGATCTACAGATATTTTGAATCAATAAAATATGGGTTTTGCAAGCAGTTTCAATAACTCTTTGGTTATTGCTGTGAGTTAATGCTAATGTAATGTATACATTCTGCTCCAAAAGTGCTCGGTTTTTGTAAATAAAACACACATATTTAAATTTTATTCCAAATTTATTTTATCTCTTTCAAAATATGCTCCTTCTGAAGCGATACACATATGCTAACACTTAACTCAATTTTCCATACACTTTTCGTAGGCCCGTGAAGGTATGGCTTTTAGTTCCTTCAGCGAATTCTCTTTTACCGATTCAATCGACTCAAAACGCTTACCACGAAAGGGGCAATTTGAGTTTCGGGAACAGGAACAAGTCGCACGGCGTCAGATCTGGCGAATATGGTGCCTGAGCAATGACGGTGGTCAAAAAATCGCTTACTACAAGAATTTTCCATAGTAAAAATCGCTAAATGCACTTGAGGTAGTCTCACATTAACAGCTGCTGTAAACGATCTAATTGACAGATGGCGCTCAAATTTGTACTATATGTCAAGAAAGGGTGTACCAACATAACAAAAACAAATTTTTGAAGAAGGTCTATTACTTAAGGAGTAGTTAATAAACAACAAAATCCGCATTTTTGAGCAGAAGGTAGATTCTCCTCCACGATTAAAGTCTGCTTGATCCTGCATAATTAGTATTCTTAATTCAAGCAGATAACCTGTTCATCCTTTTAAATTAAATTGTAGGAATTCTAGAAACTTTGAAAAAAAACATTTAAGTTTTTCTCCTACGACTGCCGAAGTTTGGTTTCCAGAAGAAACATGTTGTTAAGGAATCACCTCTTTGATCTTTGTCGGACTGTTGATCAAGAAGAACGAAACACCTATCAAATTATTTAAATTCAAGTGGATGTACATAGTTCTTATATACAGATATTTTTTTCAAGAAGTAAAATGATGAATTATAGCTATCCACAAGAAGTGGAAGAATATTTGCAGATCATTCACTGTGATAAACCAGCAATAGAAAACAACTGACAGAGGAAATTCAAAAAATTGTTAGTGAAATGAGTGTCGGACTTGTATTTCGAATAATAAATGCGATTATATGATGACTGGAACATTTCAGGAATTATGATGACCATAATTTGAGCTAAATTTATGTATTGTTTTATAAGAGAAGACAAAAAACGAATCCATTACTATATATACTTACTTACTGCTGTCCTTCTATCCTAGTAACATCAAACCATAACATACAAAGGTGTTTGACAAAAAACTCAACGAACGTGAATGACCAAATACCGTGTTTTTGAAATGCTGATACCGTGGGACTCTTTTTGTTCCCGAAGCTAAAAAAACCACTACAGAAAGACAACGTTACGATTCAATTGCGGACACACAAAAAAATTTGATAAATAAATTCAAAGGCAAGGATCTTATTAAGTGTACCACAAATGTTGGGAGAAGTATGTCAACCTATATGTATTTCTGCAATAGTGACATTGCACTCGATGGAGCATACCTCGATGGCAACAAATTAAATTTGATCCATAATATTATTTTTTAAAAAAAAATTTTGAAGTAAATATATAATGAGAAGATAAATATATAATAAATATAAATAGAATAAAAAAATGTTAGGTTTCGTTTAAATTATATAAACTTGGATTTTCATTTATAGCTAATCTATTGTATATAAACCGTAAGTTTCAGTAAAGCTTACATATAATAGAATAATTTATTTTTATTCTTATTTTAGTAGTCCTCCAATTTAATAAAAGGTTTTTTGTACAGTTCATTGTTAAATCAAAAGATTCAAGAAATCGAATGAATAGTTTAAACAGAAAATACAGTTATTATTATTTTTTTTAAATTAATTTTTAAGATTCTTTTGTTCTTTAATTTTTTCTCTGCATTTTTCTGTAGGTCTTATATCGTCCACCCTAGCCCACATTAGAGATACCTAAGTATTTCATAGTATTTTTGTAGGGCATATTATGTGAAATTTCAATGAGATCTTTTCCTTTTCATATTTTTTCTACAGCATTATAACATTAATATCGAGCCCATGCAATAGAATAGTCACTGACAGAAGCCTTAAGTGTTCCATAGAATTTTTGTGGAGCATTTTACACATAATTCTAGCGAGATTTACCTTTATATTCCTTCTCTCTCCTATAATATTCGTTAGATTTAATACAATATTGTCTATTGAAACTATAAATCTTTAAGTGCAATAGTATAGTCAACATGGTTTTGTGGAGCATTTTTTACATAATTCCAGCGAGGTTTACGTTTATATTCTTTCTCTTTCCTACATTTTTCGTTAGATCATGGACTATTCCACTTATCGAAACCATAACTCGTTAAGTTGAATAGTCAATGACAAAATATTGTTGTTCGTTAAATAGGACATGTGGTAAATGGAGTATTCGTTAAATTGAATGAATAATGTATTATGGATGGTTATGAACGAAAAACCAATGAATGCATTTTTTTAAGTTCAATTCAGTCCACACCATTTAGTGGATGGTCTTATTAACGTCTTAGCAGGAAAGTTTTGACATTTACATTGGTAAAACCTCTAATTCGTACATATCTATAAGATCGTTTATATTGAACGAATCTTTAACTGGTTCAACGTTCGTCGTTTATTTTATAATTACTTGCTATTTTTTTCTTTTTTTCGAAATGTTCTTATTATTTTCTGACATAAAGTTAATAACTGCTAAAATTTCGATGATTAATTTTGTTATATATAATTTCTTTATAAAAAAAATGAATACAAATAAATTGCATGTAGGAAACTTTTAAGTCACAAAATCCGCACACTCTGCAAAAATGGAACAACCACCGCAAAATTATAGTAATTTAAAATTTTATCATATAAGTGATAAAATATTACGTCAAATATATATAAACAAAGGCAAATTTTAAATTTAATATATTTTATATATATATATGAATTTGATTTGAAATTAATATCAATTAAGCTAAAAATCTGAGTCTACGAAATTCACAAATTTAATGTAAACAAAAGTGTGACAAATTGCTGATTAGTGAATATTAAATTTAATATTTGTAATATTATGATTTCATAAATTATCAGAGAACATTATTCATTTAAATAAACCTTCTAGCGTAACGAAAACTAAATAAATTAATAACTTAACACTGAGCTTTGTTGTCAAAAATTCTTTTTTAAATAAATAAAAACTTAAACCGCTGTAAAAAACAATAAACAATTGTTTTATTTTCTAACTGAGCTGAGACATACACTGCTATACCATAGAATATATAATATCTAGTAGATATCTAGTATCTAGTGTCAAAGAAATAATATTACATATATAGTATTATATATACAATAGCATTAGATATACTATATAATACTATAGTAATATAAATAATGGGTGATAATTTGGCTTGAGGAGAGGAAAAGAATATTCCGTTCCTATTTGGTTTACTATGAGTTGTGTTAAAATTTAATCAATCACAGCATTTAAATTAAATATTTTAAGTTATTCATTAATATTTAGCAAAGAATTCAAAACTTTAACTTATAAAAAAACCAAGCAAATATTTACAATTTAAATTTTTGTGCATATTTTTTTTAAAAAGATGTCTATTTTAATTTAAGTTCCAGACTTAACTCTTTTAAATCACATTTTAAACAAAAAATTTAAAAACAGGATTTAAAAAGTACTGCCAGAGTTTAAATTTTATCAACTACATTAATTTTTTAAAACAAAAAATCAGTCTACTTTACTAAAATTTTTACTAGATGTCGCTTTTGTTATATTTGAAACATTCTCATTCACTTTAAAATCAAACGGGTAATCCCCGTAGCTTGCATATTAACTTTTTAATATGAAGCATTATTTTTTTATGAATCAAAAAATATTTGAAATAAAAAATAAATTGTAATTCACGCGCTTAGCTTTGTAAATAAAAAAAATATTTCCTCTTATCATATGATTATTGAAGATTACAAACTTTGTCATATGATTCGCTTAGTCTATCGAATCTACACCATTATTAACCAGAAAAAGCACATTAATTAATTAATAAATCGAATCGATAGGATGAGTATCTGAAACTGCAAGCCAAAGAAGAACAAATTTAATCCGATTAATCACGTTACCAAATTTCTAACCATATTCAGTCTAGTCTTTGACGTACAAAATGTTATGAACTGTATATTTTTTTTAAAGTTTAGTAAGCTTTCACCACAAAACTTAAGACTTCAAACTTACTCACCACACTTTTTTTAAAAAAAAATCCAAATCATTCAGCGCGCTATGTTGAAAAGTTCAAAATAAGTTAAGTCACATAAAGTATTTAAGCTTGCTCAGATATCACGCTCCCGACAGTTAATTCTGAAATTTTCAAAAGTTAAAATAGAAATTAAAATAGTTTTAGTGAAAAAGTGAAAGAAAAATATTTTTTTATATATAATATTTAAAAAAAAATACTTTACCAAAATAATATGTATCTTATACTGAGTATACAAAAGCATTGCTTTAAAATGACGTTTTTTTAATATTCAAGAAACTTTCAAGTGCTAAGTGATAAAATAAAATTCAAAGAAATATTATTAAAATTAATAAAAAGTAATTTTAACAAAATTTTAAAGTTAATAAAAAATAATATTATAATAAAAAATTAAAATTATTATTATAAAAAAATCAATCAATTAATTTATACAACGCATCGAATAATTTATTTACAAAATAAAATAGTTATAATCTATAAAAAAATTGTAGAATTGAAGAAATTTTTAAGTGCACCAGTATTTTAGTTTATATAAAATTGTGATTTTTTTGACAAATTTTATAGTCCTTAAAAAAAAAAAAATTTAATAAAATTTTCAATAATTTAACTTCTGCAAAAAATATATTTTTAAAGGTAATTTAAGGCAAATTATTTAAAGAAAAAGACAATAAAAAAGAAAATTCAATAAGAAGATAAGAAAATTTATTTTTATTAGTTTTGTTATTTAATTTATTTTATTCTTACATTAATAATATAATGAAAAGTTAAGAATAAAATTAGGTTATATCACATTAATTACGACGTTATTTAGTGAACTTATGTTAATTATTTATGTTAGTGTTAATTAATATATACTAATGTATGCCTAACAGATAATTGTAGTTTATTTTTAACAAATAATAATTTTTTAGAATATTTAAAATTAATAGAAATTTTTATGGAGCTTTTTCTTTTAATTAAATAATTTTGTTTTACTTATTTAAAAAATAATTTGTTATACACAACCTTTTTTTATGCTGTACACACTAAACTTTAGTAAACTTTAGTTTACTATAAGGGTTTGAAAAGGATTTCACCAGCTTCATGTATTTTTCAGGAATTATTTTTTTTATTCTTATTAATTTTAAAAATAGAATTATCTCACCTAAAATAAATTATTATTCTATTTACAATTTATGAGAATAGTATAAACAGTTAAATTGAGTTTAGTGTAACTTAAGGAGATTTAATAATCTTAATAACCTTATTAAGATTTAATAATGGTTTTTATATTTTACTTATCCGGCTATAGTTCACTTTACGTTAAAATTAAAATTCAACGTTTGTTTAATTTTTTTTAATATATTCTATATTTCGACTCCCTGAGAGTCATCACCAGGATAAGGATTTAACAAAAAGTGACCTATAGCCAGATAAAAAATATATAAAAACCATTATTAAAAAAAATTGGTCGAGAAATAAATTTAAAACCTATTAAGATTTATTTTACAAATTAAACTCTGACTCAAAATAGTATATAAGCTAAATATAATATTATTTATTGAATTTCGGACGATTTAAAGTTTTGCTTATTATTAAAATTATTAAAATTTTATATTGATGTTATTTTATATTGATATTCAAATTATCAAATAAACTATGAGTATTTAGTTTTTTCCAACTTTTTGTAGTCAAAAAAAAAATAATAGAATAAAGTATATTTTTCGTACATCATAAATTATATCCAAAGTACATATACTGAATATATAATTATTGAAGTTATAAAAAAACAACTATATAAAAAAAGTTTTATTATGTATAATATCAATAAAAGAAGTGTAGAGTATAAATTATTTTATAATTATAAACAAGACAATGATTAATATTCAAATTGTCAGAGAAAAAATAGTTTATTTCTTTAGAAGATTTCATTTTATTAGTGTCAATGGAAAAAATTATTTTTTATCTCATAATAATTTTTATTTTAATAATTTTAATTTAATAATTTTTATTTTTTTAGTTATTTTTTTCATTTATTTTAGTACAATCTGTCAAGTATGAATGACAATAAGTATTATTTGTTACGATTTAAACAAAGAAAATCGCGTATGCAGTAGGCCCAGTGACATATATACTTAAAATAAAAATGTGTGACCTACATATACGTCTTAGGTCGTCTCTAAGACTTTTCTCTAATAATAATTATTTTTTCAATAATTTTTCAATAATATTTTTCTCCTTAATGTATCTTCGTTATCGCCTTAAAATCGCAAGTTTTACGCAAAATTTTTTAATTTTTATAAAATATATAAAATTAATTTTATAAAAAATTTCAATTTAAGTCTTTTAATTGTTGATGAGTAGAATTCAGTTGTTGAACATTATAGGATTAATTTGATAACGTCTTCATACTCATCAAACTTTTATTAAAGTATATTTCAAGTCCTTAATTTTGATGCTTTAGACCCAAAATAGTTTCATCATGATAATCAAATTATGTAGTTATTAACCATATTCCTTTCGTGTATTAAGGTTGATTTGTCAACACATGAAAATGTGTCTTTAATCTAAAATCATATCTGAAAGCTATACTTAATATAGTGTTGAGAAAGAAACCAATCATTATTGCTCCAAAATATTTTTGGATTACAGCTAAAGTTCTAGCTTTGATGTAATTATTCTCTTTCACTAAAATATATATTTTTGACCTTAAATTTATATAAATAACGTACATATTGATCTATAAATATAATCTCCGATAGTAAACAAGTTACCTTTTATTTAGATTTTAGGTTCCCAATCTAAAAGTGGTATTTCATTTAATGGTGTTTCATTACATTCCTAAAACGAAGGCATAAATATAAAGTTAGTTACACACACATATGAAAAATTAAGTTAATCCCTGGATCCATTAAATATGATTTTTCTTAATTTTTTATGAAACAATCAGTATTCAAAAACTTGTGTAATGTTTGATAAATTTAAAATTTAACAAACATATTTAGAAATTTTTAAATAGTTGATGGAACTATTAGGAAAAATTATTGTCCTATATGTCACTGATAGACATATTATGTTAATATTGCAATGTCGCGTATTTTATCAGTAGTAACAAGAGCCTGTCTCCCATGTTACGTGAGACTAAAACCCGGTAACGGATTATTATGGCCAAATAAGAGAAGAAGAACTTCACTAAACTTCTTCAAAGTTGCTTCCTTTTTGTTTGGGGCTTGCTTAACTAAGTAAAGTCACACAACTTCATAATATTTCTGTCTGTGAAATATTGAATAAACTTTTAATATTTTAAAAATATTGTGGTTTGAACAATTGTGAAATAAATAAATACAAAAAAAATTAACTCTTCGTAACGTCCTTGATTCAATATATGTCTCTGCTATAGTAATAACCATTATAAAACAGTCTGACGGAATTAAGATTGGACAATCAAAATTGATATTTTCTGAAACAATAAAGATATTGAAATGTAATTTATTTTATATAGTACATAACATTTTGCTATAAAACCCCACACATTGAACTCTCAAACATAGTCACAAACATGTCAAGGTTTTCGATTTTTTTGAATATCTCAAAAATTGAATCTTAATTCTGCCACAACATCTGCCGATTAGAATTCATTATTTTAGAAAGAATTTCTTCTTATATATTCAAATAATTATCTTAATAATTAAGATAGTAATGAGATAGTTAATCAGAGTTATTTATAATTAATGTTATTAATAATATTAATTTGTTGAAAAAACCACAATAATATTTGGTATACATTGTAACAATATTAACCCAAGTGGAAAATAATTTCATTTCAGAATTTTATTTTATTATTAACAATAAAATTGTATCATATACATCAAACATTTAAAAGCACATCACATTCAATATAAATGTTTTAAATATTTAAAAAATTAAATTAAAATTAAATAAATATTTTAAATATTTATTATCTATTAATTTTAAAGAATATTAAAAATATCTTTAACTGAGGTAAAAGTTATAATAAAATTCCTTAAAACTATTAATCAGTTTAAAATTGCACATATAAGTACGTATATATAGTATGTATAAATATGTGCACGTATCAGAATTTCTTTATAATTCTATACAGAGAGATTCATCCATATATTAATTTAGATTCGTAGTTGCAGTCATTTGCTTTTGACAGATCTATTTTTACTGCCTATATGCAATATGTACTACACTATCTCCTAGCTATTTTGTTCTATAGTTTCTTTCATAGTTCCTTTCGTAGTTTGATTTACAAAATCATTAATAGCACAGTCAGTGACTCTCCGAATAATATATAAAATTTATCTAACAGCTTTACGAAATGAATAATTGATTTTTTCTATGACATCTATTCAAATTCGAAGGTATAACAAATTCTCTGGAAACCATCTCTAAGTATACAGTTAATTTTTATTCAAATTTCCCTCCAGAATATTGGGAGTTGATAACAAGAATGAATTTTAAGTGTCTACATTATATACGTAATACTTATCTTAAAATATATTGTATTCTGTATTTTAGTAAGCTTTTATATCTTCAAAAATGTATGTACTGTAATAGTTCAATTGATTCATTTTTCTTTATTCAAACATCATCGGAACCTTAAGCTCTCTAAGGAGCATATAGTCCTCTCTAAAACTTCTATCCATTTTCTTTGTTGACCGATTCAACTCTTCAATCAAGTACATATATTTTGTTAACATCACTTTAAATGGCATCCATCCATCTCTTTCTTACTATATTTCTACCATAATCTTAAGCTGTCTAAGGAGCATATGGCCTTCTTTAAATTGTCCACCCATTTTTTTTTGATCGAGTCCATGGTAATTATTCAATCACATACATATATTTTGGTAATTATATTTTATATTTTACGATGTCCATTCATCTCTCCCTTACTCTATTTCTACCAGAAGTAATATCTCATATTTGCTATGTCATTAGTATGGTCTTCCAGGTCCAAAGTGGAATTTGGTTTATATTAAATATAAATTTAGAAATACATATAAGTTATTATATCTATATTATATCTATGTCTAAATATATAGTTATTGTATTATTATTATTTTTGTCAACATATTAAAAACGAATCAGATTTTATGTAAGCATAGAATTTTTCGTTGTAGTCTGAAGTCACAGGACCAATCTGATGACTTCAATTTATTATTATTAAAACAAATTAGTTGTAATAAAATGTATGAAAAGAGTTATATCTTTATGTATTCAGAGGAAATATAAAAATAGAAAATATTTAAATTTGCACCTTATTTTTGTAAATATTTTGCTTTTTGTGCAGTTCTCCATTTTAATTAACATCAAATGGCGAGTCAATTAGCACACCTTCGGGTATTTCTGTAATACTAAAAACTTTTCCCTAAAATCTAACTAATACTAAAATAATAAAATTTATTATATGTGTTATATAAAAATAAAATTATTATTAATTTTAAATATTTTAGCTTGACTTGTATCACTTCAATCATTAACAATAAACGTGTTAAAATGCCACTTTTTTAAAAATAAGAAAACATTTTTAAATAGAGTCAATAATAATGGTTCGGCATTATTATATATAATCAGTATATAATAATATATATATATATATCATATATACTTAAAATGTATAAAAAATGGAGCTTGTAAATTAGGTTACAAAACCAAAGTGTGAAATCAAGTCTAATCAACCAATATTTTTTCCACCAAAAAACAGCTTCAAAGTCGTTTTCACCAATAATAATTGTTTTTCTTTCTTTCCTCTTTCCTATATCTAGCATGCCCTTCCCTAGTGTTACGAGCATTTATCAGGTGTTAACACGTAAGAAGCCAATCGAAGATTCTAGCGAATCTAAATTAGCCAAAGTACTTTCCGCTTTTGATTTAACTGCCCTTGGCATTGGTTCAACACTCGGCGTTGGTGTTTATGTGTTGGCTGGAGAGGTTTCCAAGCAATATGCGGGCCCTGCTGTGGTCGTAAGTTTCCTGATAGCTGCTATAGCTTCTATATTTGCCGGTTTGTGTTATGCTGAGTTTGGTGCACGTGTCCCTAAAGCTGGTTCCGCTTATATCTACAGTTATGTGACAATTGGCGAGTTCATTGCATTTATCATCGGCTGGAATTTGATACTTGAATATGCGATAGGTAAGTACGCCCAAAGTTTGTCTTGTCTTGCCATTAAGTTCGAAGACAAATGTCTGGTGGAATTTATTAAATATAATTAATTATTTGTAAATACTGAATATTTTTGTTTTTACTTATTCAATACTAGATTTTTTTCCAAATTTATATCAATTAAATACCATACATTTCGGTTATTGAGAAGTTGAAAGATCTATAAAACGATTCAATTAATTTCTATTAATAATCGAAAATTTGCAGCTTGTCGGTGATATTTGATTCAATTTTGACAAAACATTTTTGGAATTCAATTAATTGCAACTTTTCATGTTTCTTATTAGAATTGATAAATTATTTTCGTATATTTTGGGGAACTAATGACTTAATAACACGAAATTTATTTATGTTTAATATAGTATTTGTTATAAATTTTTTATTTTATACATTTTAAATATTTTATATAAATAACTACATATGGGAACACTTTAGGTTCCAAGTGGTTTTAAACTCTGAATTTTTCCATTATACGATAGTACAATGGACCAATAGACCTAAATGGATCGCCTTGGGGTTGCTAATATAACCTAACCTAACCTAACTATATACGAAATAATGCATAAGATTGGATAAAAGTTCAAGTAAACAAAAATAGAAAATTATAGATTTTCTATAATCCCTTATACTTTAGTTCCAAATTTATAAGAGCTATTAGTTCTTTCCATCATATTCATATAATTAACAAGTTAATTTTTTTGAACTCATCACATATTATATGCTTTGTAATCGAAGTAACTTGAGTCGTGGTATACAATTAATTTTCATTAAAGGTATAAAAAGGTATTGTATCAAAGTTGTCCGTACTCCATTTATGCAACATAGTTAAAGGAAAAAATAAATTTAACATTTAGAAATCAAAATCATTTAAGTTATAGCACAAGAACGTCCGTGAATATAAGAGAAATCACAAGAAAGCTATTAGATATAAACTTTATGCCTGGAGTCAAGAAATTGTATTTGTTGAGGCGGGTTATAAAAAGGTCGATGTACACTTTATTGTAATAGAATAAAAAATATTAAAAAAAAAAAAAAAGAATATTAAAACAAGGCAACCTTACGCCTCTTAACTGAAAAGAAATCAGAGTGAATAGTTCTAGTGTATTTCTACTATTATTTAAACCCCCAATAGCACTCACTAAGGAGCGCAAATGTCAGGCGCGACGCTAAAATAAAGTCATTTCCCTTCAGTTCGGAATAAGACCTTGTGCACACACATTATCTCAAATTGCAGAAAAGTAGGGTTATGAGAATGATGGCGGTGTAAATAAGGATGGAAGAGGCTTGAGATGTTAAAACTTAGTTCGTTACTCTACAATCCTTCGACCTTGCCAGAATGAAAGACTCCGCCAAGTAAAACTTTGCAAGAACCGTCGGTTTAACTCTTAAAGTTATTGCAAACCAAGTCCCCGCGCCACATCAAGGTATATGCTTTGTGAGGAGATATCTTTTGGATATCGTTTTTTTATTATTTTATTTTATTTGTAGTTAACAAAAAGTAAAATCCAAATATGAATTTGATGGTAAATAGTTCACCTTTATTTACGTGCAATATCTTTATCTCAGTATCTTAGTTTGGAAATATTTTTATCCAAACTGTGCTCAAGCTTAAGAAAGATTTCTTCTACTAAATGTATATTTCTTGTTCAACATTAGCTACATCAACATTTTTTTTTACCCAACTACCGAACTGATTGGCAATAGTACAGTATTCCTTAAATGACTAAATATTAAAAAAGTGTGTGCAAAAAATGTATTTATCCTAAGAGGCCCACTCAATAAATAATATATAATTAATTTTAGGAATTTTAAAAAATGTATATACTATAGACCACATTTAATGATATTATTTTTTGGAAATATAAACAGGTCCCTTTAAAAACACACTGAATATTTGTTTGTTCCACACTACGGTTATGGTTGAGAAACACTTCAATAGCCTAAATTATATTATATTTAAATATATGTATACAATAATATTTAAAAATATATACAAACACTTTAAATAATTAATATATTTCTTTCTTGTAGGCTCCGCCAGTGTTGTAAAAGGCTTAAGCACATATTTGGACTCATTGTGCGGCTATGCCATGCGTGACTTTTTGGGTGCACACTTGCCAATCAATGTTGATGGACTTGGAGATTATCCTGATATATTTGCATTCGGCGTCACTTTACTATTTTCATGGGCCATTGCCTTTGGTGCCAAGGAATCAACACGTGTCAATAATGTATTCACAATGTTAAATTTGGGTGTTGTACTCTTTGTCATTGTGGCAGGTCTATTTAAAGGTAAACAGCTTTACTTTCATCCTAAAAATTTGACTTTTAAAATAATTTTTTTTATTTTTTATATTATAGTTTCTACTACAAATTGGTCACTACCAAAGGAAAAAGTTCCTGAAGGATATGGTGAAGGTGGTTTTATGCCTTATGGCGTCTCTGGTATTATTAAAGGTGCCGCCGTTTGTTTTTATGGCTTCATTGGTTTCGATTGTATTGCCACTGCCGGTGAAGAGGCTAAGAATCCAAAAAAATCCATTCCATTCGCTGTGATAACTTCGCTAGCCATGATTTTTCTTGCCTACTTCGGTGTCTCTACAGTATTAACCATGATGTTGCCATACTATGAACAAGATGAAAGTGCACCACTGCCACATGTGTTTCGCATTTATGGCTGGGTCGCTGCTGAGTATATTGTGTCCATTGGTGCTATGTTCGGTTTATGTGCTAGTTTAATGGGTGCCATGTTTCCTTTACCTCGAATTGTTTTTGCCATGGCAAATGATGGTTTGTTATTTAAGTTTATGGGTGAAATAAGTCCAAAGTATAAGACACCCTTCAATGGTACATTGTTAACTGGTTTCTTGACTGGCGTCTTGGCTGCTATTTTCAACTTGAGTCAGTTGGTGAATATGATGTCTATTGGTACTTTGTTGGCGTACTCTATGGTAGCGAGCTGTGTATTGATATTACGCTATGAATGTGATGAGCGTCGTGATTTGAAGCAACTAGGAAATGGGCGCACCTTGAATGACTACAACGAGACGAATTGTGCACTCTGGCGACAACTCTTCAATACAAGTAATTCGATGGTGCCCACTAAAGCTAGTTCTCGTATTGTTACTGTGATGACTACTTTGTATTGTAAGTTCATTATATTTTATATTATGCTATATGTTGAGATACATTTTTAAAACAATTTCTTTTTCAAATTTCAGCTGTGTGGTGCGTGCTATTTTCACAAGTCGTCACCATTTACGAAGAAGATTTTATACATAAACTTTTGATTGCTGTCTCAGCTGTGCCTCTTGTACTAATGCTTTACATAATAGCCAGGCAACCTGTCTCTGGCAGCCAGTTATCTTTTAAGGTACCATTCGTACCATGGTTACCTGGCATTTCTATTCTTATTAATATTTACTTGATGGTCAAGCTAGATCAGCTGACATGGATGCGTTTCGGTATTTGGATTGTGATAGGTAAAACACTTGAACTTTTTATAAAATTAATTAAATAACGATATACATTTTTTTTATTAGGCCTGGCAATATTCTTCAGCTACGGTATACGCAATAGTCGTTTGCGTCAACAGGACGCACGTAGTTCGGTAGTCACATTGCATGAAAGCAGTGAGCTGAGCTCGCTGAACGATGACAAATACTGCACTGAAACGCCTCTCATGTGTGTGCAAAACTCAAGTTAAATAAGCCCAGTCAATTAATAGGTTTCTTGGAAGAAAATTCAGTTCCCAGGAACCTTACAGGCAGATTTGATATATAGTTCAGAAGATTTTTTTGATACTTTTAATAGATGAAGTGCTAACGTCTTATGATATTAAAGGTCAAGGTTGATATGGAAACTATATTTTGTAGAATTATTGTTTCTAATGCATTAGTTATATTAATTATTAGACGTTTAAATTTTAAAAAAAAAATTTGCTTTCAAAACTAATAAGAGTAAGAATAAAACAGCTACTTACTGCTGTTCTTCTCTCCTAGTGGAGCATAAGACCTCAGCTTTTGGTTAAGGACAGTTTAATATATCCAAACCAGACTAGCACTATATCTATGACCCTTTTTTAGTTTCATTGCTGAAATATGTAATTTCTTTCATCTTCGAACTTTAGTATCATAAGAAACTGACGCAATGTCTATAACATCCAGTAACATATATCATAGAAAGTCATAACTAAAATGTATCAAAAATAAACCTTGACTGATTTTTTTTCCAAGACTTACAATTGATTGTACTTAATTTACTGGGCTTCATTTTTGAGGATATTTCCGGAATTAGTTTCTACAAGAAATCATAGATTGATAATTAGATATTTCAAGCAAGATTATAATGCTTGCGCACTGCTCTCTTTAAAGTATACAAATGATATCGAATGTATTATTTTAATTTTAGTAATAATTTTAATCAATTCAACTCATTGTTTTCATTTATAATTTTTTTTTAAAATTTCATTGTCATTTTGATAAAATATTTATTAATTTAGATATTATTTAATTGCATTGATCTGTTAAACAGTGATTTAAATTGCTTCGCATTTTAGAACCAAAAAATATCTTTATTTTTGTATTTAAGTATTTTATTACAAATAAAAATAAAAGACATTACTATAGTAAACAAGTATTTTTAATAAATTTATATATATTAAATTTCAATAAATTATTACGTTTTCAAAACAAACTTATTACGTCATAAGTGAAGTACAGACTTATTAGAGAATTGTGAGAGCTATCGTCTGCTGCATCGCCTTACCTGACTATAGAGTCAGATTTAAATAAAATCGTGAAAACAAATACGGAAGTAATATACATTATCTTTCACTTTTATAGGGTGCTTATCTTATGTAGTTTCTGCAAAAAAAACTCGAACATATGCATATCAGCTCTTTACCTTCTTCTTTATCAGATATATCATCTTGTTAAAAACTAAAACTAAAAGTTTGAACACTTTCTTTTTTGCTGAATGTTTTTTATTGATTGCAAGAAGTGGTGGGATGAATCCTCAGTTCTATTTTTCCAAAATATAGACTATAAATGTGATTAACACCACATAATAAATTTCTTCTAATAATACATTAGGTTTAAACTACCACTAGCAAAATATCATCATCATCATTGAAAAAAAAGTAGTGGAAAATTATACAAAAATGTTATACACAAATTATACATTTTATTATAATAGAATATAAAAAATTAAAATATTTTTAATGAAACACAATAAATACGAAAACAACGCCAACATTCATACAAATATCAATTTTGTAGTTCAGTTCAAATAATTGGAAAAAAAACGCACACAATTTAGACTGACTTTGCACCTTCATGGACGTCTGCTAAATCTGTATCTATCTCCACTTTCTGCAGCTAAGCTAATTAATGATGGAAGTCACTCATCACTTGTGAAACATCCAAATCTACCTAATCTACCAAAAGACAAGATCCTGCCAACTTATTAACAATGAACATTCCTCAAGACTGATTGCAGTTCTTTAAGGTATATAAGAATCCATCCATTATTGTAGCTACAGAAACTTGAACAATCACACAATTTCTATATAACTGCCCACTTTAAACTGGTAAAAGTATTTTTGAGGGAATTTTCTTGACAGGTTATAGTTTATCTACAGTGGGATCATGCGAGAAATTATGGATTTGCCATTAGAAACTATAATCGGTTAGTTGATTGCAGTCATAACCGTTAACTTAATTCACGCTAAAGAGCTCAAGTGAACTCAAATATAAATGGTATTTTTTAGAGATTCTATATATATCAGTTAGCAACACTCTTTTAGGTGGAAATACTAAAATGGTCCTCATTTTATAGATATAAGCATTTTCTTATATGTGTATTCATAAGTGCAATATATTAATTAATTGTGAGTAATTCGAAAACACCATTACAATTTGAGCATTTAAAGATACTAATATAAATATTTGATATCTTTGTTTAAAAATTATACAAATAAATTTGTTGTGATTTTCTATATTTAAACACTAAATTAATAAATTTGATTGCAACTGTTAGTTCATATAAATTTTAATCGCTATAATTTTAAATCTGATTTATTTTCATGTTAGGTCTATAAGCTTTCTAGATAGATATGAGATTTGTAATTAAACTTTCTATTATTAAATCTAACAATATTTACAGCAGTGGACAGGATATAGTTCATAAGTTTTAAACGATAATAAATCGCCAATATCCTTCTTATTGCGCTTTCTGGACTCAACATGTAATTATAATAAATAGGGAGTGTCAAGAAGTTTAAATGTTACATAAAAATAATAAATTAAATTTAATAAATAATAATATAAACTAATTATTTATATTAAAATAAAATATTATTGTTTATATTATGTAAGAGCATAATTGGTTTTCTTTAATTCTCGAGCATATCTTAAAAGAATTCAAATTGTCACAAATTTCGTTGTCACAAAAATTAGTTTCAAATATTTTACACAAAATTCATAGCATATTTTTAGGAATGCGAAATTAATTTTGTTAAAGAATGTAAAAAAAAAATATTAAAAATGTTTTTTGTTAAATTAAACAAGGCAATGATATATGATAGACAATAATATTAAAATACTCACCTTCTGTTTTTTGTTTTATGTAGTATAACAATATATAAATTAGTTAAAATTGCTACAGGCTGGAGTACCACAGGGGTCGCCGTTATCTCCACTGCTCTATAGCCTGTTCACTGCAGACATACCAAAACTCGAGCCTTCTATGCTATGGCTCTATGCTGACGACACTTGTATTGTGTACTCAGACAAAATAGCCTGCAATGTCTCCAACACCATACAGAGTCACATTGACGTGCTTGTTCAGTATTTTAAAAAGTGGAAAATAAAATTGAACGCAGAAAAGACTCGGGCAATTTTCATTACCAGGAAGCGCCGCCAAGCACCCAGAAAATTAAAAGTAGAAAAACAAGAAATAGAATGGGTCGATATTTTCAAATACTTAGGCATAACCTTTGATAACAAGCACTCCTGGAAAGCACATTTCAAGTCCAAACGAGCTCAAGCTGCCCGAATATTACACTCCCTTCACCCGCTTATCAGCAGCAAAAAGCTCAACATAAAGAATAGAGTTAGCATATTTAAGCAGATTATTAAACCAGGACTACTCTATGGCAGTATTGCGTTTTGCCAAGCGCCAAACTCAACTTTAAAAATTCTTCAAAGAGGGCAAAATATTGCCTTTAGAAAACTGGTTAACGCCCCATGATACGTAAGAGGAGCGCATATCCACAGAGATCTGAGAGTCGATTCAGTCGAAAAATACATTAAAGATCGTGCTCTGAAACTGTTCAATATAATTGACAGTCACAATAATCCAACACTCAGCATCCTAAAAATACAGCGAAATTTGATAAACACAGGCAGATACAAAGACATCAGATCCATCATGTTATAAAGCCCTGTATTCAGTTATTCTTAGTGTGACTTAAAACTGTCCACAGTTAAAATAGAGTAAAGGTGCTGATTCACCAACTCAGACATCTGAATATCAATCAATTTTATATATTGGTTGCACTGTCATTTACGTGATTGTTATATATAACGTACTACGATGCTTAATTTGTGTTTCTTAAGCGCATCAGCAACATTTCTATTAATATATTTAGGGATTATTTATTTGGGTCAGTTGGTTAAGGTGCGTTGACTGTGAGCTTCCAATTTGGCAGGGTACGAGTTCAATTCCTGGTACCTGCAGTTTCAAAAAAAAATTATTTACGAATAATTTAGTACAAGAATTATTTCCAAGACTACTGATGATGGGTATTTGGCAATACTCAAACAGCTGCATGGTTAGCCAAAAATACAATTATTTAAAATAATATAATAATGAATTTTTGTTGGCTAAATAATAGGTCAGAAAAAATCTCTGTAATTTGTGACAAAACCCAAATATTATAGGAATTCAAAATCAACAAATTTAAATGTTACAAAAGCGCTGGGGAAGATTTTACAAATGATGTGAGGCTTGAATGTTTTGAAAGAATACATTAGATTGTGGTCCCAAATAAAAAAATTACCACTAGAAAGGCTGATGAAGAAATAGGAATATCATATAGCTATTGCTAAGCGACTTTTGTGGTTAATATGGACAAAAATTTGATGAAAGCAAAATTTGTTCCATAAAAACGGAATATCGTATTGCTTATGCAACAATTCCTAATGAAACACAATATTACATTAATGCCACAATCACCTATTTAAATAATATTATTTAAAAATATATATAACATGGTGATTATTTGTCTTATTGGTATATTGCTATATCTGCTATATCAAGATAAACGACATCCAATTTTTTTCTAATTCGTAAACATAAAACAGTCTGTGTCCAAGGAGTTTTCTTCGCGTTTACATTCTGGTATCGCATGTCGTATCTTAATCCAGGTTTTCGCTGCATTACAACGTTTGCCTCAGTGTATGGTTCTTCAAACTCTACAGCAAAAACGAATTTCTTTCAACTATTTGTGATTGATGCAAATTTCTTAATACCTCGAATCATGTTGTTTGGTATATTGTCCAATCTAATCACTCCACTGATTCACTGCAGCATGCATATATCTTCCATATAAAGTTCGTTTAATTATTGTAATATTTCGTATTTGTACAGAACTTCAAGGACTCATATTTGTTTTTACTATCCACGTTTTATTCATTGTGTAATATATCGTTCCTTTTATCATCTTGAGTGATGAGGGAATTTAAGTATTTAATGCTTTCTATCACTTAAAGAAGTTCATTCTCTGTTTTTAAATGATTATAACAATAATAATTAAATATTATAAGTGTATTTAATATTATAATATTATTAAATACATAATAGAAAAAATAATAATATTAAAGTAAATTTGCTTTCATCATAATTTAGATTACTTCTGATGGTAAAAATATAAAAATCGTTTTATTCATGACAATTAAACATATTAAAATTATTTGTGCAAAAAACAGACTTTCTATTTAAATATAAAAAAATGTTGTAAACATAAATTGAGTTCGGAGTAAAATCGTCATTTCCTATCAGTTCTAGAAGAATCGGTTGAAGTAGAAAAAATCCAATTGCAGTAAAATGTAAAAACTTCTAATCAGTCAAGCATAGTTGCTTTGCAACTTTTACATATTATCTTATTATGAATCGACGAGATTAGATTCTTTAGATCTTATCAAAAAAATCACCGCTGAAGGCAGTTTTTGTTATAATTTGCTAACAAAACCTGTAGTATTGCAATTAAATTGGATGATACGAATTAAATCAACATTTTAAATTTTCTAAGGTTAATAAATATTTTTAACGCTTAAGTTAAAACTACAATCATAATTTTAAATAATCATTTATAACGTACTTTAGTAATAAACCGGAAGAATTTCTGTACGAATAAAAACCTTGTTGAAGAATAT